TATTTCGGTCTAACCTACGCTAAGAAACTAAACATGTAAACATGACATGTACGTTTGTAAAGGTCCACCTAAAATAAGTAAATTTATAGATATAACAGTAAACTATACATTTTTATATACTTATTATTATGGTTGTAGAAACCAAAAGTACAAACTGCCAACACGAATTTGTTTAAAATTGTATATCTGTGGGCATATTTAAATTAAGAATGGTTGCCAAACATATTTTCAGTCATAATTGTACCGAAACAGACTTTAGTTTTCTTTGGATGTCAAATATATACATTATTGAAGATTACACTCTCTGTTTCCGTTTAAATCTAAAACCCCGTGGTAGAACTACTTTCAATCAGTATTAACTCCGAGGTTATAATGAATAATAGTCGAGGACGTTCCGATTGGCCACTACCATGGACCAGACTATACAATTTTGCCATGTTTGGAGTCTTTTTAAAATTTTCTATTTTAACTATTTGATACTCTATGCTCATTTTATTGTTAACAAACAAGCAAAACATGACAGTCATTTTCTATTTTGCTCATATTAAATGGTTTTACGTGTTCTAGTTAAGTCCTCGCATTAAACCTTCCTGTTTTATTTACTAGTTGAGACTAAAGAGGAAGTTCTAAACCATAATAGTGCAACTCTATATCAATTGTATTTACATGTATTAAGTAAACAAACTGTTATCTTTTGAAATAATATTATACCATACGGAAATAATATATTTGTGCTTATGGTTTCATGGGATAATATTTGCTGTAATCAGAAGAAGGCAAAGAAATAAGTAAGTTAGTAGCAATATAAAAACACTTTTTTCCGATCAATAAGTTACGAATGGATTTTAGAATAATTTTGTATATAATACATGTGTAACTTATTACTTGACGGCGTGTTGTGCGCAGGATCCAGGTATCACACTTTGACACTTCTTTATTGAAATGCAATGATGTTTGTGTTCGGTTAACGGTTCTGTTATTCCTGGAAAGAGTTTGAAATGATTCTGCGCTAATGTAATGTATTGGACAAGATAACAATGTGCATGCCACGCGCGAAAATTATGTCAAGGTCACACTTGTACGTCCTGACTTTTTTCCATAAAAGTTACATTGATGGTTGTGTCGGGTATACAGTTCTGTCATACCTAAATGGATTTAAAATTATAATGTGGCATAAGTGTGACAAACATGATGATCACGTGTATGTGAATATTTCATTAAAGTGCATTTGTTGTGTGGCCAACAATTTTGTCATACCTGGATGTATTTTAAGCTCACCTGCATGAAGCTCTACCAAAATTGTTCAAAGAATTAGATTCCATAAAGACCTCTGGTTGCCATGGCAACCAAAAGATTATTTTACAAAAAGTCTTAAAAAATCTTTTTGTAAAAAAACCGAAAGACTTAGGGCTTAGATATTTGGCATGAAACATCTTCCAGCGGATGTCTACCAAGTTTGTTCAAATAAAATCCCTTGGGTCATGATTGACCCCGTCCCAAGGGTCATTGATTTTCCTTATATGTATATAGTAAAAACTTAAAAAAATCTACTTGTGACAATCCAAAAACACTATAGAAAAGATATTTGGCATGAAACATCTTCTAGCATCTTCTGATGTCTACCAAATTTGTTCAAATAAATGCCCTAGGATCGAAATTGGCCAGGCCCCAGAGGTCATTGATTTTCCTTTATGTATATAGTAAAAAATTAAGATAAAATCTCTTGTAAAAAATCCAAAAGAGCTAGAGCTTATGATATTTTTCTTGAAACATGTTCTAGTGTATAGCTACCATGTTTGTCGAAATAAAACTCCTAGGGTCAAAATTGGCTCAACCCCAGGGGATCGAGGTCGACAGTCCAATCCCCAGCCAGGTCAAATGTTTGTTTTCCTTCTCTTTTTCCTCATATTTTTATTAACTCACCACAAACAGTGACAGGCTGAACTGTTTGATAAAATGGCTGCCAGAGCTAAAATAAGAAAAAAAACCATCTAAACAACATCTCAACCACTGGTTCAATTTTGAAATAATTTTACACAAGATTTTCTTGGTGACAGTGTACAAAAATTGTTCAGATTAAGTTGTCGCTAAACCCCTCGGCCACGGCGAATTTATATGTAAACAGCCTGAAGAAAACCATATTATTCTAAATTAGAGTTTGTAACGACGCTAACTGTTGTTTAACACTTGTGTAAATAATCATGGCGCTTATTATAAGCGTGTATATCTATAAAGAATAAAACAATATTAGAAATCTTCGACCATTCGGGAATTATTTTGCTTAAAAATTAATGCGCCTGTCATGCGACCATATTTACGCAGTGATCTCCCCTGAATTTTTTGGCCTAAGTGTTACATATAAAGGGAAGTAACTGCTTTAAAAAAGCGGAATACTTTCGGCATTTGCAATTATCGGCATCATAGAGTCTGAAATTTCGCTACCATTATTTGTTTGGTCTGACGACCCAAACAAATAAAAAACCAACCTGTTGACATTTAAACAGATTTGTTTAAAATTGTACATCAGCGGGCATATTTAAATTACAAAGTGTTGTCAGACATATTTTAATCATAATTGTACCGAAACAGACATTACTTTTCTATTGGATGTCAAATATATACATTCGTTTTACATTATATCTCTGTTTCTGTTTACATTTGAAACCACGTGGTAGAACTATTTCAATCCCTATTGTTTCCGAGGTTATTATATAGATAATAGCCGATGAGATTCAGATTTTAATTTAATGAAAAATAACGTCCCGGAAATAACCGACTGGCTACGATATAGGCTTTTAAAAAAAATGACGTCAGTCTACCTTAATTACTGAAAAGCAATGCTGATGTGCGAATAAAAGGGTTTGTCAATGTATTACTTTACTTTTCTCAAGTGAATGAAATTATTTATAGTGTACAGTATTTTACTGAAGATAAAAAGGTTTATTGTTCAAACGGTTGGTTTAGGATATACACTTGGGACTTTCTATGAAACGCAGTCCAGGTCAACAGCAAGAAAAGTGAAGTTTATATAAAAGAAAAATGAATGTTTGCATGTCAATATACTATATTGATGCCTGTATCTAGTATTTCTTTCCATAAAATTCATTGGTGCTTTTTACAACAAAGAAAAAATAGTTTGGCACATTGAGAATACGAAAAAAGCAGTGTAAATGTAAAAATGTGAAATATTAGAATATTCATCTCTTTTTTCCTGTGAAACAGTATCTTTGGCTGACATATTTGTGGTTTATGTTATCAATCTATCACAGATTATATGTACAGATGCTTTACTGTAATTCGAGTAACACTCTTTTTATAGTAACCCTGCCCTTGCTTTAAGTCAGAGGTCATGCTATATGGGTCTTAACTTGTTCTTAATTGTTTGTTGGTGGTTGTTTTGTTGTTGTTGTTTTTAAATGGAATGGATTGTGAAGGAGCATAATTAATTTATGTCAGTTTCCCACGACATTTCTTGTTTAGTTGTTTTTTTAATCAGAATTTTTAATTCATGGTTGTTTTGTGCTTTTTTCTACCTCTCGCAGAGCATTGCTAATTAAACCTGGATGTCCTACAGACGGTTAAATTGTTGTTTTGATTATTTCATATTTTATGGTTTTTAGAAACAAAACAAAGTGAGTGGGATGTTATTTACACATTTAACCCAATACTCGCCAGACATATTAATTAATGGTATTTACGTCATGAATGTTTGATATCTATCTAGATGCATATCGAAAGAGTATTTCACCCGCAACTCTTCTGGCTTGGGGATGGGGGAAGAAGGTTGAAAGATGTAAATTGTACCTTACATTGTCTCATGAACAGACTCATTCAAACTTTAGAATAACGATGCTACATTCCACATTTTGTGTTTAGTTTTTCTTGCTATCGAAGGATCCTTCATTTACCGTATTTTGTAGTTTTTGTCGCCGATATTTGCTGGGTGCCCTATTGGTTGTCGATGGTCTTCTCCGGCCGGATGATGTCGGGGCTATTCTTTGTTGATGTTTATATTCATATTTGTTACATCCATGCTGTCTTTTGTTCCAGCTGCTAAATTTAGCAGTTATATATAGTTCTATGCAGGACGACATTGGTGACAGTTTAACTTTTTGTAGTTTAATTCTTTGGAGAAAATTAATTTGAAGAAGTAGTTAAATGTGTATGCGTTCATTTCGACCTAAATGTACATTGTACAATGCCTTAAATTTGATGGAGAAGAAAACTGCCAGTTTTCTTGGTAGTGTCTCATAAGCCTAAATGTCAAAGGTTATGTGGTCTCAAAAAAGATGAAATGAAAAATAAAAAATATGGAAATCTAAACTATGACCAAAACTGCAATGCTTCACTCCTTTACGCTTCCAAAAATGGAACTCAAATGTATAGATGCTAGGTTATCCCTACAAGATTCATGACCATGGTCTCATTTCTATCCCCATATGAATGACATGTGAGACTCCCACCGAACATATCACGCCGTGGCCATCCCCTAGCTGTGTTATAGGTGGTTATTCACAGCAACTTAAGTCTATTTTAAATTCTCCAGCTTTCCTAGGACTGCATACCACTGTAACCACAGGTCTACTCCTTATACCCAGTGCAGTTCAATCAAGCCATAGCTTGCATTGAACCAGGGTATTTCAAATTGAAAGACCCTGATTGAACAAACGTGTCACCCTAGTTTTACAGCAACCTATTTTAACATTTTTTATAATATTTTTTATCCTCTTTTTAAACAACACTTTAATTTTAACTTCCATGCGAGTTTGATGCGCAGACATGTCTACTGTATACGTCCCGCAGATGGTCAATAAAGTGCATAGACTTCATTTCAATATTTAATTCAATGCATACATATTAAGTATATAAAACCTTCCTGGTGCATAAGGGCGTGCCTTGTTTTAAGATTAATTTTTATGCAATCAGGGCCTTTTAAATAGTGTAAATTAGTGCGCGTCTTTTAATGTTAAGGATGATAACAATATGCAAAACGTCTAGTCGCAAAATACACTCTCGCGCGGAAGATCACGAAGTGTGGACGCTTGTTCAAATTTCAAAGCATCTGGACAGAATGGATGACAAGGTAAAACAACCCCAAAATTAACGCCTTAAATTGCACAATTGCATTCTTGAAAGTAAGCACTGATACTTTCTTGAAGTTTTACTGATAATTTAGATTAAGCAAGTTACGATATAATCTAGTAAGGAGCTAAATGATGCAAAGTATTGACGACTGAAAATCTATTTCGATTGAAACAAATTTTATGCAATATAGTGCGGCGGCACGAAATACCCAAATATACCCAAATACACCCAAATATAGCAATATTTATTTTTTGTTTGTATAAAATATAGATTAGAATGAGAAATATATAAATATTTATAAAATAATATGACTTAGCCTGCTATAACTTTCATTCATTCCGTTGAATTGGGCAGTTAAGATGTTGTAAGAAAATAAAGTTGTGGCATTTGCTTATCAACTATATAGGTTCTTTATGAATGTACTTGCAAGTTGCAATTTTAAATCAAGATATGATATTTGTTGTCTACACATATATATTTTTAAGGTGTAACTTTGTTGAAATTTCATATCATATACAAGTGTCCATGTTATTTAAAAATATAGCTTTAATGGAGTATATATATACTGTACGTATTTTGGTTCAAAACACAATGATAGGAAAATGTATATTTGGGTATGTTTGATTATATCTTAGTGAAAGTGTATATTGTATTCATGATTAAAACAGCACTTTTTTAGTATAAAACATTTATTTTTAGTATAATTGGGCAATATTTGGGTATATTTAGGCAATATTTGGGTATATTTGGGCAATATTTGGGTATATTTGGGTATTTCGTGCTGCCCATATAGTGAAATTTATAGAACTTAAAAGTAAATTTTAAACTGAAAAAGGTTACGTCAAGTCCAAAATTAAGTCTGGAACTATTTGATCTTCGGGTAGACTTTAGAATCTTCCTGCAGCCATTTTTTAACATTGTGATTTTTACCACAAAATAGCAAGCACAATATCTCGTCGAGCAGTACAATTAGTTGGACAAGGGTTTAAGGCGTTTATGGTTAGTGTTTAGTCCTATAAAATAAGATGTTTCCGTTCGTACTACATACACTCCAACGTCTTATCGACTTCTTCATAAGTTCCTTTAGCAAAACGCGCAGCGATTTTGAAGCGCTATATAAACCATCGTAATTTACAAAAACATATTTTGAGTCAAAAGATATGCAGACAGTAAATTTAAACATTTTTGCATCAATGTGCAGCAAAAAAAATAAATGACTCGCCTTCGAATGTAAATAAATCCAATACAATTTATACCACTTTCACCGCTACATACATTCGGCCATTTTACCTGTATACATGTAGGCGAGTTTTGCTAAAGGAACTTGTGAAGAACTCAATAAGACGTTGGAGTGTACGTAGTACGAACGGAAACCAGTGATTTTTTTTCAATTCTGAAAACAACCTGTGGCTTTCTGAAGGGGAAAATATAGCGTGTTAAATCAGAAAAGGGGAATCCAATTCCAACTACAGAGAATCAAATTTGACACATTTTTTAAAATTTTCCATTTTAGTTCAATTTAACATAGCAGAAGCTATCTATAGGGACAGCTTTCTTTCTTCTAGCCAATGTAAGTCAGCTGCTCTCATGAAGACTGTGCACAGGGCATTTTAGGGGAAAATTTTAGCATTTTTAGGGGAAAATATACCTATTTTGGGCTAGGGGAAACAGCCTGTATTTGGCTGTAAAATACAGGAAAAAAATCACTGGAAACGTCTTATGTTATAGGACTACTTTAGTGTTTTGAGTAAGAATTGTAATTAGAGGCTTATGGGTTAGTGTAAGCATTTGGCTGAGGACAGATTCTTACAGTGATCTACCTTGGGGAAGGCTGTATGGTTAGCTGTGCCAACAGGATGTTATGGCCTCAAACCAAATCGACCCCAGATGGTAGAGCTGCAGTACAGTGTTCAAGTCCTGGTCGGCCTGCACATTTTTCTCACCCTGTGACATTTGGTGCCCAACAGGGGCTGTGGCTGCATATAGCTCAGAGTTTATATAAGCATTGTTCTGTAACCCTGAGAAATTCAAGGACAGATGTAGTTCTGGCCTCCATAACTTTATATGTCACTTTTATTTTGACGTTGTGTGACAGTAAAGTTATGGGTCAACCCTATTTGCAAAGGCTACCAGAGTTTTGGCAGTTTGTGTACCATACATAAAAACCTATTAAAATCACCCTTATTAATCAAATTTGGGTCAAATAAAAATACCATTTGATAAACAAATCAATTTGGAATCAATTCGTGTTTTTAAATAAAAACTTCAATGACATTGTAACCAGCTATTTGTTAGGGAAACATGTAGAGAATGTTTACCAGTCTGCTTTCAAATGAAATCTCGTGGGACTTCAAGTATTTGGAATTCTAGCATCTATTTTTAGTAACGGACCATACACTATTTTTAGTAAGTGTATGATTTTAAATAAAACCAGAAAAAAATAATTCATGAATCATCACTAAAAACAATATAAATCCAACATGTTTTTGGTACCATGTTTGTTATTGAATAAATACACCGTTATTCATAATTGCAAAGTCATGTTTTCAATTAAAAATAGCATTTGGGTCACGGGTCACCAAATGTCATGCCTAAATTCTCGTTAGTCATGTGATAATTAGGGCAGCAATGGCTGCGAATTTTATGAAATGTGAACCCAACTGATAAACTTTGAGTCATTATTTCATCAATGTAACCTTCTGTGTTCAAAAATATAGACTGAAGTGTCCCAAATATATCTACTTACCTACATATTAAAATAGCTTTTGTCCAGATCAGACAAATTTATTGAATTACAGCATGACATAATTATGTCACGGTTCTGGTTGACTTTCAAGACAGGATTGGTTTCAGCAAACAGGTCTAGCAGTACTATATGCTGAAGTCTCTTTAGCTAGGACAAATGAAAATATACATATGTAGCAGGGGTGTATGTCAAGGTTCAAAACTGTTCAATACTTAGTGGAGAGGATACATGTAAGTGGCTTGGTAGCTCAGTCAATTCCTAGGGTATCAGCCTGCACATTTCTACGGCATATTTTCTCTGTTTACAAAAGTATAAGCTGATAGACCTTTAAGAAATCCCTGGCTATAAGGTACATTACCAATTTAGCTCTCTGGGATTTCTTCTAATTCAGACAGTACACAGCATAACTTGTTAAAAACTGTATTTGATAAAGTGTCATATTTAAATGTTTCAATCTCCACATGTTTTTAATTTCCAGATTTTGGAAGTTAATTTTAATTGATATAACCCAATTGTTACCAGAAAAAGCGTACATAATTCAGAATTTAGAAGTTCCGTAATTCAAAGGTATTGATTACATAAACAAGAGAATTACAAGATCCTGAAAAATGTTGGGATTTTAAAAGTTTCTAGATTTTAGAAGTTCTGGAATTCAGAAGTTACACTGTATTTTGAAAATCTATAATAAAAAAAAAAACAGTCATAGTGGCGCCTTTAACCTTCCATAATAAATAAATTAAATAATTTATGCTTAAACTTATGTTTTTACATATATATATTTTTTGTGTGGAATTATTTTTAGAATAATATATAATCAATTCTTTTAAATAAAAAAATAATTGTTTTATATTGTATTTCATTTTTATCCTAAAAAAAAGACCCAAAAACATATGTCTGGCCATCAGCAATTAAGACATGCACACAAAGTAAATGCTGTAATATTTCTTTTAGTTTAATCATATCTATGCCCCCGTTCATTATCTTAGTAACGGTTGCACACATTCAACTCAAATTTGACATATGGATATGTCATGATAAAATACAGGTCAAGTTCGAATTTGGTCATGGTTCGATGATTTTTGGCAGAGTTATGCCCCTTTCACTTTGAAAATAATATGAAATTTTCAGTTTCCGTTCATTATCTCCCCAACGGTACAACACATTCAACTCAAATTTAACATATGGATATATCATGATAAAATACAGGTCAAATTCGAATTTGGTCATGGTTCGATGATTTTTGGCAGAGTTATGTCCCTTTTACTTTGAAAATAATATGAAATTTTCAGTTTCCGTTCATTATCTCCCCAACGGTGCAACACATTCAACTCAAATTTGACATATGGATATGTCATGATAAAATACAGGTCAAGTTCGAATTTGGTCATGGTTCGATAATTTTTGGCAGAGTTATGCCCCTTTCACTTTGAAAATAATATGATATTTCAGTTTCTGTTCATTATCTCCCCAACGGTACAACACATTCAACTCAAACTTGACATATGGATATGTCAAAGGAATGCACAGGTCAAGTTCAAATTTGGTCATGGTTCATTGATTTTTGGCTGAGTTTATATGCACCTTTCACTTTGAAAATAATATGAAGTTTTCAGTTTCTGTTTATTATCTCCCCACCGGTACAACACATTCAACTCAAATTTGACATATGGATATGTTTTTGGAATGCCCAGGCCAAGTTCGAATTTGGTCATGGTTCAATGATTTTTGGCAGAGTAAAGCCCCTTTCACTTTGAAAATAATATGAAATTTTCAGTTTCCGTTCATTATCTCCCCAATAGTATAACACATTCAACTCAAATTTGACATATGGATATGTCATGATAAAATACAGTTCAAGTTCGAATTTGGTCATGGTTCGATGATTTTTGGCAGAGTTATGCCCCTTTCACTTTGAAAATAATATGAAATTTACAGTTTCTGTTCATTATCTACCCAAGAGTGTTACAAATTCAACTCAAATTTGACATATGGATAAGTCAAAGGAATGGGCAGGTCAAGTTGGAATTTGGTCATGGTTCGATGATTTTTGGGCAGAGTTATGTCCCTTTCACTTTGAAAATGATATAGATACATCTTAGGAATAAGCAGTTTAAGTTTGAATTTGGTCGTGGTTCAATGATTTTGGACAAACTCATCTTTCTTGAATGTTGGAAAAATTTTGAACTTTCAGTTTCAGCACTCATACTTTTGTGGAAATGAATGCAGCCATTATTTTGGCTACAAATATGAAATATGCTATTTTCAAAAGGTTAAGACTGAATTATTTCAGTGCCTTGAACATTGTATGGAAATGGTTTGTGTTAACATTGAAAAGTTTTAAGGGCTTTGAACTTAAAATGAAAAAAATAATTTGTGCAAACAAATTTGGAACTAAATATAATAACATCTGAAATTTTGGCTGCATGTGGGGGCATCCGTGGCATGATGACACATTTCTAGTTCATAATCATATATAGAACATAATAAACATTCATTCAATGTATACAATGTTGAAATGGATTAGGCCAAATAAAAAAATATGTCTGGTTCAGGAAACATTGGTCCAAAAAATTAGGAGGGTAGGGATTTTTTTTTTTTTTTTTTTTTTTTTTTTTTTTTTTTTTGGTTGGGAGAATGTCTTATCAATTTAAAGATGTGTTGCTTGCTTAACATACTTAAACAAAGATTGTAATCAATCAATGCAAACACCATTTTGTAATTTGTAATAAACTATCAGCATGTGATATTGTGTTGTTTATTTCTTGTATTTCTTGTATGTAGTCATTTAACCTGATGTAGCACCTGTATTCATACTAATTTGCTTTCTATTCTGCTTATTATTTACCCTTTGAATCACCCGCTGTACTATGCTAACCTGCATCTGACAGGTCTGACAATTAAAAGATCAAGGGTCACCTCTGTAACAAGTTAATAATAATGCTGTATTATAAGCTTAGAGCATCTGATATGCACTATTCCGGGGACCAAAATAACACAGCTATATATAATTTTAATATTAAACATATTCAAATGGTCTTCAGGGGGCGCAAGTCTATAGATATATATGTGCAACTGGTGCCAACAGTTGCAGGGTTCACACAAAGAAGGAGTCTTGGGACTCCCAAGCACAAAAAAGTAGGAGTTCCAGATCACATTGAATATGTAAAGCCATCTTTGCTGCACTTATATGCAGTTGACAAATATGATGTATAGCAGAGTTACTATAAAGGGGTTGGGGAGTCAGAGTTTAAACAGAGAAAAAGCTTATTCAGGAAAATGGTAATGTGCCCCAAATGGAAAACACTTTACCATAAAAGTGATTGAAAAGATTTGAAATATAATTTCAAAAACATACATCATCAGACCATTATGCTGTTTTCTTACACCCCCCCCCCCCCTCCCTTAAAAAAGAAAATATTCATTGTATGTTACAAACACATACTGTTAATTAATGGCTCCATCTCAACTAATGTAAACAATATCTTTAGTAAATTTAATTCCTAAACTATATTTTAAGTGTTATTACACACATTTTAACAAAACATATCTTCTTTTTGGTTACGATTTTTTTTAATCATAAAAATCGGCATCGCGAAAATATGTGACAATTGAAAATTTGTCTGTTTCCTGCAGAAACATTCACAATTCTACTTGTTGTTGATTTTGATCATATAAGATTAAATATTTTTTGATTATTTTAAGATTGTTACTCATCGGCTATTTGAGCAGGCATCGTAAAACAAAATTTTCACATTTGAAATTTTCGTACCCAAAAATTTTCGTACCAAAAATCAAAAAAAAAGTTTAGGGTCGGTGGTAAAAAAATAGGGTCGGTCGGGTTCCCTGAACCAGACATATTTTTTATTTTGGCCTTAGAACAAAAGATATGAATTTGTACATTGTATGTTACGAGTTCTTCTCCGACTCTATTTTAAAATTACATCAAAATACTGAGATAATGTGTATGAATTCATATATGTTGGGGGAAAAAAACAACAACTTAAGGATACATTCCTATTCAAACATATATAATAAATGATAAAATATGTTTATTTTGACATTGTCAGAAAATGGTTTTAATCATACAGCAATCTCTTGAAATCATACTGGAATGCATAAAGATTTTGTTATAATTCAAAGGTGCATCCATCAGTTTATGGAACAAGCAACTTATTATTTCACACATGGGTATTTTTTAGAATGCTTCACTGTTTCATTTTTGTTATGACGTTTTATATTGTATTGTAATAAGTTATATTATTGTATGAAGAAACTTGTATAAAATTTCTTATCTGTTTGTTTTAAGAGAGAAGTCTTGAAGGACTGGTTCTAATGTGACATACATTTCACCAGAAAAGACTTAACAACCACATTTGATTTGTAGTGAGTTCATGCAGAAGAATATGGCAGTAATAAGGTAACCAAAGGACAGATCAATCCAAAAATACAATGAAAAGCAAAAAGGGAAATGCATCTAAAACAAAAGAAGAGTCTACTGAAAATTTTGAAGATTTGGAAAGTGAACACCATTCCAACAAAGGTAGAGCAAGACGTGGAATGCAGAAAGAATCTACTGAGTTTTTAGAGCCTTCTCCAGGTGATCTAGATACTGTTTGTAATAGAAATATATGTCAAGGTGTTCTTGAGAAATTTGATTATCTTCAGAGAAAAATGAAGTTGGAAAATGCTGAATCTACTGAATCTGCTGAATCTACTGAAGGTAAAAAGGGTAGAAAGAAGAAATTTGTTGAAAAAACTTGTGACAATTCAGATGAAGTCAATGACAATGTTAAGAAAAGTATAATTGAGCAGAAAAAGGATTCTGTTGAAGAGGATGAGCCAAGTAAGAAACATAAAAGATCACATACTGGGGAAAGAAGGACCAAAAACCAATGTGATACTATTAAAAAAGGTGCAAAAGCAAAAAGAACCATTTGCAAAAAAGAGACAGAAGAATCATTAAAAGAAGTTCAGGCTCAAGTTGAACAGCGAAGACTTTCAAATAAACTAAAGAAGGCAGCAGGGAGCAATGAAATAGTTCCTGGTGACAGTAAGTGTGACGTTCAAAACAAGGGGTGCAAAAAATCTAAAACTTTAAATGGAAGTGTTCAACAGTATGACAAAAGTCCCAGCATTAGAGACTCATCAAATATATCAAAAGAGTTGGATGTTAATGCATGTCCTGTGACTCCAATTTACAGTGACAATCAATTAAGTAAAAATAGTATTATCAGTTCTGGAGATAAAAAGGATCGTTCAGATGAGAATGGAAAATTAGATTGGAGAGAACGCCTTCTTTTCCTTGAGATGTCGCACCATAAATTTGATGTTGATATAAATTCTGCTGAAGATGACACAAGTGAGAAAAGTACAAGAAGGAGGACACGAAGTGGAGAATCTAATGATTTAAATGAAGATAAAAACGGAGGAAGACCCAAAAGACTGAATTGTAACCTAAAGAATGTTAAAGAAAGTAAAGACATTTGTTTCAGTGCCTCAACACCACTAAACCATTCCAAAATCAAAAAAAGATATTCAAAGAAGAAAACCTGTAAAAGAAAGATCAGACTTGCTCCAGGTAAAAGTAAGCAGAAAAAAAGTAGTGACATTTCAGTCGATGATGAGCAGGATACAGTTAGCGTAGCCTCGTCATTAGATTTGTCTTTACCTACACCAAGACCTCCGAGAGTCGGCTCGAATTATCCCTTCAGGTGAGCATTGTACTTGCATACTCTCAAATATTTACTACAATTGCGATAAAAAATAATTTTATCATCTGTAAATGCTAAGTGAAAAATGACTTTGAATTTTGAATGCATCAGTTTTGAGATTTAAATCTTAGCCTGCTGGCAGCAACATACATTTATGTATTTTAACCATACGACAAGTGCAGACCAAGATCAGTCAGCAGGACTGCCATCTGATCATGGTCTGCACTGTTCACTATTCGGTCAATACATATCTGAAAGTGATGAATGCAGAATAGTTTTTGTCCAGATTTAAAGATTGACAAGTCTTTTTTAAGATATTTAGCATGGTAAGGGCAACATACAAGACTAATCGTAATTAACATGGTAGGTTGTATGTATGTATACACATTAAGTGAAGCTTTTAAAGTGACTTGTATCGACTTGAGATCAGTAAAATAAATCTTTTAAAAAATCAAATTTTTGCAAGAAACAAATCATTTCTAGCTTAAGAAATGTATTAATTTTCTCAATATTGTATAAGGTGACACTTCGAACGTATTATAATTATAATGCAATGACATGTACCAGTACATGACTCAAAGGCATAGTGGACGATTTTCTTGATATCGCCAAAATTTTGCCATTACTGATAGTTACCTACGTTACTGAAATTTCTGTATATTTCTGTGGATAGTATAGGGGACTTAGTCTACATTGTAGGTTAAAGCAGCAACTGAAAATACTCCCGCGACCATTCTGTGTCGTCTGGTGATGGTCTGCACTATTTGCTATTACCTTAGTTAATATATATTTTGAAATTTCCCCTATAATGATGAATGGTTTAGCCCTGATTGAAGGCTGGACAAGTCAAGTCCATTTAAGATATTTAGTTTGGTTAGGATTAAGCATCATGCATGATATGCTTGCTTCTGTTGATGTTATTTGGGGCCGGTAAAATCTGATTTGATTTACTTGCCTGTTTTTATCTGAAGCATTTCTTAACTTGTCCATATGATATTTACATAGTTGATTTTTGAAAATTTCCACTTGTCCGTGCTTGATGTTGGACAAACTCAACAATGCGGACAATTGAATTTGATCCGCCTGATGATTATGTTTGTTGTTGATGTAATGTTATACATGTAGGATGATTTATTCACTCATTGGTAACATCTGTCTGTTATATACATGTTAGGATAATATATATACATGTAGGTATAAGTCAATATAATGCAGTCTGAAGCAATAAATAATTGTGTAGCAAAAGCTGCGGGGAAAATATCCAATAATCTTATCATAACATGTTGATATGGTTTTAATTAGTGGCTAATAGACGGACAATTACTAGGATAGTTAAATATTGGTATGTTAATTTTGTTAAATGTACATTGCGTTTATGAAATAATGTCATAGTCCTTATCATTTATATGTCCAGTGTTTGAACAGTCTTATAAGTGCTTAAATTGGAGTCCCTTTCTTATAAGTGCTTGAAAATGAAATTAAGTGCTTAAAAGTCCTTGAATTTGATAACTCTCTTTTAAAGTTCTTAAAAAGTGCTTAAATTTGTTGTTAATATTCTTGAAAATGATTGAATGACATAGTGTCGGTAAAAATCAGCTGTTAACAAAAATACAAGAAGGAACAACAATCCAATTTAGTAGCAAAATTGATGAACAATGATAATAATTAAGTTTGCTGGTCATACTTGAAAAATTTAGGCCAAAAATAAAATTATGTTTGTTTCCCCTTCCTGACCCATTAAGATTAGGGTTGAGTAGGTAGGTAGGAAAATTTTTTTTTTATATGTGCATGATAATTAATAGTCTGCATATATGTATAATGGACTTTTAAAATTAATTTATTAAGTGCAATAGTATATGTACATGCATTATCATATTCATAACTGACATATGCAACAATTTATTAATTATGCTACCTGTCTAAAATATCAGATTAGATTGTACCTATTGTACTCTGAAAGAAAAAAATGCTTTCATCCCCTAAGAACCTGAATAAATCTTTTAGTAGGGGCAAATTTGTAGGGTAGGTAGGGAAGGGGAAAAAAATTAAATTTTATTTTAGGCCTTAGCTGCACTATACATGAATACATATATTAGAATATCACATAATGTACAATGTACAATGCATTGTTATTCAGCAGTCGAGGATATAGTTTCCATTGTTTTACGACTGTTTTAAAGTTACTTTATCATTGGTTACCAATTGTATTATCTGCAACAAAATATGCTTGAAAAATGGGAAAATTTGTTTTAAAGTGCTTAAAATGTGCTTGAATTTCGTCATTGGATGTCTGACATTGGTCGTTCGTTTTTATCCACCCGCCTTTCGAAGAAAAAGGGGGATATATAAAAAGGCTCCATTTGTCCGTCTGTCACATTTTCGTGTCCGGTCAGAGTCTATAACAAGTTGATGTAAAACTCGTCTGAGGCGGGGGACGTTTGTAACTCTGTTACAAATTCTTGTTTATTTAATTCTAAATGGATTGTCTTCATACATAGGCACAGCAACCCTTTGGAATGGATCCATTCTCAATTTTCAACAAATTAGAAAATATTGTCACAAGACATGAGAAATGTTTTTATATAGTATTCCTATTCTAAATTGTGAATTGATATTGAATCAATGTTGGATATCTTAATGAGATATTCAACGACAGCCCTGGAAAATGCTCACACAAAATAGATTGTCAAAAAACATTTTAACCGATATAAATTTAACATTATTTTATTTATCTAGTTTCAGTTTATCCTTTGATGAAACGAAAATGGATGATGATTGTTCCAGTGATGAAGATCTCCCTGTTGGCCTTACACCACTAAAATTAGGTCAGTTTATGTTTGGTCTTAAACTACTAAATGTTTGGTCTTAAACTACTAAATATTGGTTATATTTGATTCATTACAAAACATGGTCATATTTCAGATTTACTTTTACACTTCTAGTTAAGTCACCTTTTATTATGCCTCCAAAAATTTTAGACGTCTGACAAAAAAATCATCAAAATAAAGTAATTTGCAATGTTAATCCAGCTGTATTTTAAAATCGTTGCATCATTTTATTATAAATATTGATTAAAGTAATAAACTTGTTGCAAGTAGGTCAGTTGCAGGAAGAACAATTGTACACTTAGTAAATGTTGTATTCTGCAGTCAATTGCTTCACAATATGTCATAGAAAAATTAATAATTTTTAGACCTTTTTAAACAAATATGTTGATGTTTTTTAGACCCGTTTTGTGTGGGAGAGTAGCTTTCAGATAATAATTCTTTGGGAAAACTTTTAATAAAATACTCAACAGATGATTATTGGCTTTTATTGTAACACCTTGTAGACGTTTAACGATTGAAGGATTTTTTTAATAATTGATATTTTGTTTTGTTTAATAAATGAGACATATGCTTGTCAGATAGGATCAAAATTGGCAAGTTTATCTGATATATGTTGCCATAAAATTGTAACGGCAGCTTTCAAGGAATGGAGAAGCGAACAGCCTGATATACCACGTATAAAAAAAACACCTGACTCTTTTTAAATATATACATGTACTAGGATTAATTTAATTGATATTTGAAATTAATATTGAAAATTGCTACACTGTCTCTTTGTTAATATAAAATAAACATGTTTTAACTTTACACAAAGTAGATATGCAATGTTTTAAATTGTACGCATTATAGGTCCACACTATGAATATATAGTGTCATTAAAAAAAACTGGCACTTTTTTTTTAAGACAGGAACAACTTTATTTGATCCTAAATAGGGCCTGCAGCTTACCATACATAGTTTGTACATTCTGTTATTCAAATTAGACATATCGAGTAAGAATTTCATATATTTCATTAAATTTCCGCAGTAAGATATTTTACTCAATTATGAGCATAGTATATCTTTAACCTACTGGTGACAAATTAGTCTATGCCATTGGTATAGCATAGAGCCAGGCCAGTCATTTTATCAATGCAGTCGGACCATGCAGGCTCTATACTGTTGGTAGCATGATTTTTTTATTTTGATATTGAAATCCCTTAAGTTATCAAATGGACTGTTCCAAATTCAAAGCAGGGCAAATCCTGTACACAAAGTCAGCAGAAGAAAAGTGCATTATTTCCTTTATCATGATTTGTAATTTTGTATTTAAGAGTGCTCAAAGATGTAAAATTTAATATGTAACTATAAGTACTGTACTGTACCAGTATACAGATTATATATTTATTTTCATGTCTTGTAGAAAAGACGCCATCTGAGAATGACATAGTATGGGTGAAGTGGAAAAAGTGGCCCCATTTACCGGCTTTGGTAAGATGATATTTCATTATACATCTATGTTCAAGCATTTATGCCATAATTTCCAGACTGATTTTTTGGTCACTTTAAAAAAATTTTCTAAAATTTAACTAGCAGCATTTAACCTACCTGTACATGTGAATGAGAAATGACTGAGAATTTTAAAACAAATAAAGGGAAAAAAATGAATGAGAATTTCAAAATAATACGTAAATGAAAAAAAGAATTGTCAGGATTTCAAGGCATGAAAATAGAAAAGAAAAAATGAGACAGAATTTCTTTCAGTAGATGTAAAAATAATAACCCAGCTTGAAATAAGCTTTTCAAAGTTTTTTTTTAGTTTGTACAATGTACATGTATTTGATATACAAAATACTAATCTGTTTATGAGTGAAACATATTAATTGTACCAGCTGTCACATTGTCAATAATTCACACATACAGTAGAACTTCTAGCTATGAGTCGAACTTCGATTTGTCGATTTTCTCGATGTGTCGAAGTAAAATGAAAGTCCTGATTTTTTCCCCTGTTTATTCCTTATAAAAACCTATTTATGAGTCGAAAATTCATGTGTCGAAGTTTTTTCATGTCGAATTTGATGTGTTGAAGTTTTTTCATGGTCCGTATAGAATAAATGGAGTACTAAGTCCAAGTGCTTTGATTTTTTTGACATTTTTGACTTCGAGATATTTTTCACACATTATCTAGCCGCAAAGACCATTTCCAATCAACTTGTGTGACAGGTTCAATTACACAGCTGTGTCTTCAAACAGCATTTTTATGCGTTTAAATGTGTGATACAATGATTTAATTGTTACCATTCAAATTGAGGTAGTGGTTATTGAAAGTAAACAGTAAGAACTACTTGTACTTTTATTTGAGAATTTCTGTGACCCGATGTCGCGTGATAATCACACACGAAATATTTACTAAAAGCTGGTTAAGTTATCCCCCTTTCCTATTGTTTCGCCTTTTGTAACTTCCTTGTATAAGTCATCAGGTCGAAATTTTGTTATGAAATTGAGACTGTTTTATGAGTCAAAGTCTCGATTCGTCGAAGTTTTTACGCAAGTCCCTTCAACTTCGACTTACCGAAGTTCTACTGTAGTTTTACTTAAAACTCTCTTCTTGTCCAAAGTTCAAGATAAGCTTTGTCCAATTGCACCTTTACCTGCAAGAACCAAAATAGACTGGCATTGTCACCAGGATAGAGCCATGCTAGCTTGGGCACAGACGCCACAAATGTGCAGGCTGATCTCGGTCTGCATGGCTTGCACGGGTGAATCAGTTTCCACCAGTAGGCTAAGAGTTAAATGACATCACCAATGACATCACTTCATTAACTGCAGTACAGATTTTGATGACAGTTTATAGAATAGTACTTTCCAAGTTTTAAGTTCCAAAATGGTCAGGTTACTGACAAAGATGTCATGCAGAGATAAATTGAAAAATAATTTTAAAAAAGATTCATTTTTGACTAATGAAGAAATATTTAGTAGACCATTTGTTTTGTAAAAAGAAAAATCATCTGTATACCATAAAATTCCTATTAAATGCCCCTGGGGGCTAAACATTTTCCAAAAGGGGGCTTTTATTAAAACACATTTTTTCCTAAATCCAAAATCACTGTAAATACATTTAGTGTTAGCAAGTGTTGGTAATAGCATTAAAAATTGATAAGGTTTTAAAGTTCATATGATACATTTTTGTGTTTACTTTAAAATAAAATGATTTGAATAAAACATGAGTTCAGCACTGATGAGTAGATTTTTTCCATATCAAAAAGCCTGGGGGGGCCTTTATTAGGGGAGAGGCGTTTATTATGAATTTTACGGTATTTGCTAAGATGTACTGCTGAGCTAAAAAAAATTAACTTTTCAACAAATTCAATTTTGACTGAAATATTAGTTTTTAACCTGGTTTCCTAGGTGAGCAAACCAAGGCCCTTAGGGCTCTCTTGTTGTGCAGAAAGCATTTGTTTACTTGTGCATTGAATATGATTATGTTCTTCAGGTACGGAAAGTGTACAAGAAAAAAAAGCGTGTCACATGTGCCGTGTTTTTCCCAACTGGTTTTGAAGAGGAGTAAGTTTAATATTGCAATATAATATTTTAATTAGTAGCATATAATGTGTTAATAATTCCCAGGTTTGAAAGCTTTTTCTAAAATTCTTTGAAATACAGTCTTTTCTTAAATGTATTGTCAAGGAATGAAAAAAAGTTTGACAATTTAAGATAAAGTCAGATTAACTGAACTTTTTCAGTGAGGACTTGTGAACAGACTTGTAAGTTTTTTTAAGTAGGTTTTACTTTGCACCTACACAATATAGGTCATATGGCAACTTTACAGCTTAACTGGTTGAGGAAGACCTCAGGTGCCCCTCCTTGCATTATTTCAGGCACAAATATGTACCTGAGGATATATACTGTATAATCAAGGGGCCTTTCCGGAAAATAGCTGGAAAAAATTTAGACAAGATCTTGCCTTTGAAATTTATCACTAAGCCGTATGAGTTGTCATTTATGGAAACATGGTTCTGACCCAAATAGGTTTGAATCCATTGATCCTTGGAATCTGTGACAGTATCCTTATCCACTACAAAAATAGACCTGGGTTCGCCCTGACATAGGTGTTAGTCCTTAATATTAGATTGTTTTCATGTTGGTGTAGAATGTTGGTGTGTTTATCTGTTATTTCAGTTTTACATGGGGGTACGGTAATCAATCACAATGGTGTTCATGTTGATGTAAAATTAATGATATTTAAATGTCATTTCAGTTTTACGTTGAGCTACGGTAACCAAGGGGCGGTCATACCTTACTGTGATCCTAAAAAGGACGAGATTTTGGTATGTATGAAATGATCACAATAAAATAGATATATATGCTTGTATTTGTCAGTGTGCGTATAGTTGTTTCATTACCTAAGTACCCCTTTTCTTACTGTCATACATTCAGCCTCTTTTACTACCAAGCACTGTTACTTATCTTTTCATGTCTTTTTGGCTTTATTTGGTCAAAGTAATTTGCATTCAGATATTATTCAGCTTTAGTAATTGTTCTAGTTAAGAAAAGGATTAACTGGAAATTTTGTTTTAATCCAAATGGCATGCATACCGAAATACCTTACTGTGTGTATTTAGTAATTATCTTAACTTTGTAATGAAATGCTTAAATATTTGCAGGAAAGTGCCAAGGACCTGTCATCAGTTGACCGGACTTTCTTCTGGGCCTGCTTAGCTGAAGCTCAAAATTATATGACAAAGGAGGCATTAAAAGGCCTAAGAAGTCCAGAACCCTTAAAAGGTAATTCACCTTCTTTGCTTTAGGATTTCCTTATTTTATCTCATTTCATTGAAGATGGGAACATAGTGTATTTAGAAAGACTGGGTTTACATTGATGAGTTACTATGGTTTCTCACTTAGATCACTGCTAGAAAGGTCAGTGGCTCTACATGGGTATCTACTTGAAGTTGTCATTATTGATAATTAGGGAAATATGTGATATTTTACTTGAGGTTGCAATAATTGATATAAGGGAATCTGTGATTTTTTACTTGAGGTTGCGATTATTGATACAGGAAACCTGTGATCTTTTACTTGAGGTTGAGATTATATAGATACTGGAAAATCTGTGATCTTTTACTTGAGGTTGTGATTATTGATACAGGGGAATCTGTGATCTTTAATTTGAGGTTGTGATTATTGATATAGGGAAGTCTGTGATCTTTTACTTGATGTTGCGTTTATTGATATAGGGGAATCTCTAATCTTTTACTTGAGGTTATTATTATTGATATAGAGAAGTCTGTGATCTTTTACTTGAGGTTGTGATTATTGATATAGGGGAATCTTTGATCTTTTACTTGAGGTTGAGATTATATTGATACAGGGGAATCTGTGATCTTTAATTTGAGGTTGGGATTATTGATATGTGATTTTTAATTTGAGTTTTGGATTATTGATATAGGGGAGTCTGTGATCTTTTACTTGAGGTTGCGATTATAGATAAAAGAGAATCTGTGATCTTTTACATGATCAACCTCAATTATAACATTTAAATGGTTTTGTTTACAGAAAATAATTTTTTCTGAATTAACTTGATATTTAGTGATTTGAAATCAAGAATTGTTGCAGAATATGTGCAATAAGTATGGTTTAGTTTTCTGAACGAATGAATCTTGAATGAATTTTCTTTTTAAGCAAAATACAATACAATTTATCATCAGAAAATAAGACATTATGATTGATTTATTTTAAGAAAACGTAACACAAGAAGAAGAGCCTGAAGACATAAAAGATGATAACTGTGAAGTGGAGAATGAAGAGAAGATAACTCCGTGCAGGAAAAGACGGAAAATGTCCGACTGTATTGTGACAAAGGTTGAGAACAATGGTCTCTCCAAACAAGGGCAAGAACGGTATGATTGTTTTATTCTATCCCTTTTTTGAATCTGGGGCATCCATGGGCAAGTGACTTCAAGTAACTTGCCCCTAACTACTGTGGGATTAAACGCAGTTACTGACTTAAAATTCTTTCATGTTAGGAAGCTCTCTTGCTAGCTTATGCTGTGTCTATGGTTCTACTCAAGCGCAGGCCTGTGCCTGAAATAATGCAGGGAGGGACACCTTATGTTTTTGCTGTGTAAGTAACAGTGGAAAGTGGTCATATGACCATTTCAGTGTTCATTTTACTGTAAACCCAGCAAAAAAAGTCATTATATTTTTACGGGGATTTTTTATTTAGAAAAAGGAAAATAATTCAGTAACACAAATCACAGCATTTTTTTTTTTTTTTTTGGAAATGTTTGGACAAGAGACTCAGTCCTATTTGCAGGAATGGTGCCATATTTTCCCCAAAATAATGTTGAAATTTCCTCTTTACTATTTAAAAAATATTTTTTTTAAAGTTTTTCGCTGCTTCTAAAAATTGCCGGAAATTGAAAAGTTAGGAATAGCACAAATGTACAATTTTCTACATTTCTGAGACTGTATCTTATTTATCATTTGCATATCTTGCTGTTTCAAGTGCTCCAGTTGGTCTATTTCAGAATTTCAGATTTAATATTTTTTAGGCTTGTGGACCCCAGTGGAGTTCCTTTAAAGTTAAAAATCATTGGAAAGTATTACGTTTAATGAAATATTGTTATATTTACAGGGTAGAGAAGAGGAAATTAAAAACCAGACCACTGATAGATTTCCTTATATCTGATACTACAAAGGTAGGTTATGACTTTATACACCAGCATTTCGTAACCAAGGCCCGGAAGAGCAGAGAAAAATCAGCTGAGTTTTTAACTCAACTATTCAGAGAATAGGGAGTTCTATTGTACTCGCCTAGATGTTTGCGTTCCAGTTGTGATCTCCAAAATTTAGGGATGGCAACAAATACCAAAATTAATACTTGAGTACTTGGGTCATTTTCCCGATTGAGTATTTGTCTACTCTGATGATTTCCAAAGATTTATCACACAATATTGACACTGTCTGCATGCTACTTTAGTTTTCTATTTAGATTAATAGAATTTGTTACTATAAATAGGACTGCAAGGGAAGTAAATTAAAATAACCAATAAACAAATTAATTGAAATTAAATCAACAACATTATATTTAACAGCGTTTTAACAAATGCATATTTGAATTTATATGAATAAAGGAGAAAAGGGATTTAAGAACAACAAATGTTTAATCATGTCTAATTACTACCTACAACCTAACATTCATAATAGCAATCCGGTTCTTTGACGTTTTCAAAACAGTTACCTTAAAACAAGTTTCGACTACAAATTGTTACACAATAAAAGGTAATAAAATATCAAAAGAGGCTGAATGAGGCAAGCGACACCGGTGTTCTATCCCATGCGACTGTCAAACTGTTGATTGCTTAGTTAAACTTATCATATAATTTTCACACCATCTGCAAGGATGTTTTTATTGCATTTAACAGGCATTTATGAAGATAAGTGTTCATCATCTCTGAATTTCTGAACTAACTGGATACACCAGTCTTTCTAGATCCCAAAAAATAGAAATTATATTATATTTTCAGAGTAATTGAATATCAATTATGTTAACCAATATTACCATCTCACTGTCTTTCAACGACAGGGACCTTTACAATGGATTAGGTAATCAAAAAAAGTCAAAGTCTCTGCTATTCTTCTGGGGTTAAGGAGCTGCGTTTCATTGACTAGTCGATTCAAGATTTTATAAATAAAATCACTTTGATAAGAAGACCTAAGTTATGATGTAAATTTATAAAGCCTGTACAACAATTTAATTTTCTTTGAGTTGAAATTACCAGGTTTTAAGTGCATTATGGGACATCTTCTGTTATGTTATTCTTGGGTCATGAATGATTTTCTTACCTGAAAGGACTGTGGCTACTCCAATATTTAGCTCGACTATTTGAAGAGAGAGCTATTGCTTTTTGGAAAAAAAAAAAACCTTTATTTCTGTGTGTTATAGAGAGAAAAAAATTTGGAAAAAAAAAAGTTAAATTTTTCCAACTTTTTTGTGTGATACATGTTTAAAATTTTCTGATTTCTAATATGCAAAAAGAGGATTTCAAACTAGAGCTGTCAGTAGGGCATCTTGCTAGACTATTCACAGTGATTAAATGTTAAATGATAGCTTTGATAATGAACAATTTTCTAAATTCTAACTGGACCAGTTGAGGTCTGTCAGTAGATCAATGCATAAGTCTAAAGGTTTCAGTTGAATCGTTGTCTCTAGATCTAGCAACTAAAATCCAGTTTGGAAGACAATATGTGCCTGATCCATTTTAATTTGGTACTCTTTGTTTAAACCTTATCACACTACATATCTGAAATGGTCTTGTCCATCTACATGTGTTGACAAAAACCATTCATTATTTTTAGGGAAATTTTTAAAATAAGTACTGACTGAATAGCAAACGGTGCGGACCACGATCAGACGGCATAGATGTGCCCACTGATTTTGATCTGAACTAGTAGCACCTGTACAGGCAAAGTGTTGAAACTTGTGTATTTGTTTTATTTTTTTCAGGATTTCTTAGAGAAGATTTATAATGGTACGACTAAAAGTGAACTGCATGATAAGTTTTTAACCGGTACCATTAGAGAGCGAGCTAAAATGAAACATCGCGGATTTGGTCCGATTGACGATGATGAACAGGTAAATATTAACCGACAACAAATGATGCAGAAGGATATGGGTTCTTGCATTATTTTAGTCATAATTGTAGCTGGATATTTTGAATTGCATTGAAAATTCTGATTTATGTAATAATATATGTATCCTTGCTTTGAGCAATAGACTTGTGGGTCATCAGTAGACAAGTGGTTCTAAGGTCATTGACCAAAATTTTTCAATCACATGCCTATTGAATTCTGCATGGCACATTGGAATTTGGATTTTCTCATGGGAGAAAACTATCAAGCAAGCTAACATAAAGTTGGTGGTTCTACTTGAGTGCCCCTTTCTTGTCTGAGATAATGCACGGACGGGCACCCAAGGTCTTCCTCCAAAGTCGCTTTATGACCTACTGTTTTGGTGCGACATAAAACCCAACCAAAAGAAGGAGAAAATGGATTTGTTCTGTTTTTACTTTTAAACTGTTCATAATATGTTCATTATGGCCCTCTTTTTTAAATTATAATTATTTTCTTTCATTTTGAAGGGGTCACTTGAGTCATTTTGTGCATGTAAAATGTGGGTTTTTACGTCTGGTAAAACTCTTCAAGTCTTGTTCTTTATTACCTTCATGGCATAATGAATGATATTATATGGTATATGATGGCAATATAATAAATGGTACATTATGAAAAAAGCGTTCTATGGCAATATGTGTACAGATATATGGTATATAATGGCAACATAATTGGTATATAGTTATAAAAGTGGTATATCATTTCAAAATGTTCTTTATTTATAGAGAATACAGTAAGGTGATGAAAATTGTATTTATTGGAAATATATGGAAATGTTTATGGCAATAAACATGATACTTAATGGCAATAATACTGGTATTTTATTGCAATAAATATTGTATTAATGGCAGTTTGAATGGTTTATAATGGCATTAAATATTGTAGTGATGGCAATTTGAATGCTCTATAATTGCAATAAATATTGTATTAATGGCAATATGAATGGTTTTAATGGCAATTAATATTGTATTAATGTTATTAATACTGTATTGATATTGAATTAATTGCAATTTGAACGGTTTATAATGGCAATCAATTTTGTATTAATGGCAATTTGAATAGTTTAAAATTGCAATAAATATTCTATTCATTGCAATTTGAATGGTTTATAATGGCAATAAAATTTGTATCAATGGTGAATGGTTTGTGAGGGCAATGAAAATAGTACATACATATATTTTCCTATGATTTCTTTATTTGTAGATAGAGTTACTACTGAGCACATACTTGACATGGATTAAACAGATAAATAAGAACATACATTTAGATGATGTCAACTATGTGTTTGATGTATGGGTACCAGAGGTAAGTGTTCTCTGTTTTTAGCTCACCTGTCACAAAGTGACAGGGTGAGCTTTTGTGATCGCTTTTCGTCCGGCGTCCGTCCGGGGTCCGTTCGTCTGTCCGTAAACTTTTACTTTAAATGACATCTCCTCATAAACCACTACGCCAATTTCATCCAAACTTCACAGGAATGTTCCTTTGGTGGTCACCTTTAAAAATTGTTCAAAGAATTTCATTCCATGCAGAACTCTGGTTGCCATGGCAACCAAAAGAAAAAACTTTAAATATCTTCTTTTAAAAAACCCTAAGAGCTAGAGCTTAGATATTTGGCATGAAACATCTTCTAATGAGTGTCTACCAAGTTTGTTCAAATAAAGCCCTGGGGTCAAAATTGGCCCCGTCCCATGGGGTCTTTGATTTTCCCAATATGCATATAGTAAAAACTTTAAAAAAATATCTTCTTTTAAAGAACCCAAAGAGCTAGAGCTAAGATATTTAGCATGAAACATCTTCTAATGATGGAACTTAAGTTTTGCTCAAGAAACTGTTTTCAATTTCTAAGTGATAGTGACCTTGACCTTTGACCTTGTGACCCCAAAATCAATAGGGGTCTTCTACCCAATATGGACAATCATCCTATGAAGTTTGAATATTGTGGGCTAAATGGAACTTAAGTTTTGCTCAAGAAACTGTTTTCAATTTCTAAGTGATAGTGTTTTTACTTTTAAACTGTTCATAATATGTTCATTATGGCCCTCTTTTTTAAATTGAAATTATTTTCTTTCATTTTGAAGGGGTCACTTGAGTCATTTTGTGCATGTAAAATGTGGGTTTTTACATCTGGTAAAACTTTTCAAGTCTTGTTCTTTATTTCCTTCATGGCATAATGAATGATATTATATGGTATATGATGGCAATATAATAAATGGTACATTATGAAAAAAGTGTTCTAAAAAGCATCAAACATGTTCTAATAGGTGTCTACCAAGTTTGTTCAAATAAAAGCCCTGGGGTCAAAATTGGCCCCGCCCCAGGGGGTCATTGATTTTCCCTATATGCATATAGTAAAAACTTAAAAAATTTTCTTTTAAAGAACTCAAAGAGCTATGGCTAAGATATTGAGCATCAATGTTCTAATGGGTGTATACCAAGTTTGTTCAAATAAAAGCCCTGGGGTCAAAATTGGCCCCGCCCCAGGGGGTCATTGATTTTCCCTATATGCATATAGTAAAAACTTAAAAAATCTTCTTTTGAAGAACTCAAAGAGCTATGGCTAAGATATTTAGCATCAAACATGTTCTAATAGGTGTCTACCAAGTTTGTTCAAATAAAAGCCCTGGGGTCAAAATTGGCCCCGCCCCGGGGGTCATTGATTTTCCTTATATGTGTATAGCAAAAACTTAAAAAATCTTCTTTGAAAAAACCCAAATAACTAGAGTTTAGATATTACGCATGAAACATCTTCTAGTAAGTGTCTACAAAGTTTGTTCAAATAAAAGCCCTGGGGTCAAAACTGGCCCGGCCCCAGGGGTGTCATTGTTTTTAACTATATGTGTATAGTAAAAACTTAAAAAAAATCTTCTTTTAAAAAACCCAAATAACTAGAGTTTAGATATTAAGCATGAAACATCTTCTAGTAAGTGTCTACAAAGTTTGTTTAAATAAAAGCCCTGGGGTCAAAACTGACCCCGCCCCAGGGGTGTCATTGTTTTTAACTATATGTGTATAGTAAAAACTTAAAAAATCTTCTTTTAAAAAACCCAATGAGCTAGAGCTTAGATGCTTAGATTGGCCCCGCCCCGGGGGGTCATTGATTTTCCCTATATGCATATAGTAAAAACTTAAAAAATCTTCTTTTAAAGAACCCAAAGAGCTAGAGCTAAGATATTTAGCATGAAACATGTTCTAATGGGTGTCTACCAAGTTTGTTCAAATAAAAGCCCTTGGGTTAAAATTGGCCCTGGCGGGGGGGACAATATACAGGTGAGCGACCTCAGGGCCATCATGGCCCTCTTGTTTATAAAAGCCACTTATGCATAGATGTTGAGTTGTAAAAGTGAGATTTTAAAATTATTTTCATGACTGAATTAGAATTCTTAACCTTTTACCCCATGAGCATATTGCGAAAAATCGCCGTTTTCATTGAAAAGCATCCTTTAACAAGTTCAAACTGCTATGAAACTATGAAAAATGCTTCAGTACTGATGAAACTTGGCACAAATGTTGACTAGACCATAGCCTCTGTAACAGCATGCTCAATCGTAAATTGCCTGTTACCATTGCAACGGGGGGACGCCTCAACATTGCCAAAAATCACTATTTTGCATTGTTTTTTTCCATCAATACTGATTTCAAAGTGCTTCAACTTCTCAATGAATTGAGATAGAGAAAAAGGCTTTTCAGCGTCGGTTACTAGTTACCCTAAGATTGACCTGAGGCCATTTTTAGCCTGTCATATGTCCAAAATTTTCTTGGCAATGAGGAGGACTCCGCCACCCCCTTCAAACCCCCCAAACAGAAGGGGGCACATCCCACTTCTGGCAACCCCTTCTGGCAACCCCCTGATGTAACATGTGGATGGGGGACGGCGCCGAAAAAGTGGTCACTTTTTTTTAAACAACATTTCTCAAACGAAAAACAGTGTTTGGGACCTAAATAGGGCATTTTTTCACTGTTTGAGGCCTCAAAAAAAGGGGGGGGGGGGGGGGGCAAAAAGCCGTCGAAACACGCTTATACAAGGGAAAAGGTTAACCTATCCTTAAAATATGATTATGTTATTGACATGCATTGTATTGTTGTACTCTTGAAGGGGGATTGTTTTGCTTGCTATTACTATTGACTTGTTAATTTCACGGCATGGTTAACCAGACAGTGATAATATTGGGAAATAATAATAACAATACATTGACATTTGTTGTTGCAACAAATGTCAATGTCTTATAAAACATAATTATCATTTCTTTGGTAATATCGTCATCATATTACCAAGTCAGTAATGATAGTGTCAATTGTGGTAATCAGAGATGAAATGTAATGTTAATGGACATATCACGGTAAGGGATTGTACACAGATATACATGTACTGTATAAGTGGATATTTCCATGTGTCGAAAAATTGGCGAATTTGAAATTCCCGAAATCTTGCGCTAGAAAATATTAGCGAATCACCAATCTTAGAGTAGAGTTAAAACTGAAAACAGGTTGGTTAAAATCTAAGCTAGAGAAATTTTTAGTGATTTTCGTCAGTTTGTGAAATTCGTCAATATTTTCACGTCACTAACTTAAACACCTTTACAGTATACGTGTTTTCAGTCAAAACAAAATCGAAGGAAAATACATGATGTAAGAACAATTCTGTTTCTGTTCGGTTTGAGTTTATAGTTTCATTGATATATGCCAGATGTGAAATATGTTCAAGTATCAACAAAAACATTCAAGATTTTATATACTTATTGATAAAAATTGCCGTTCCAGGCATTGGAGAAATTATTTAAAAAAAATTAAGTTTCTTATCAGTCTTGTTAAAAAATAAAAATTCTGAATCGGTAGATTTCTGAAACCTCACATACAAAATAAAATTTTGTCACCTTAGTGCAATAACTAATTACCTCCTATTAAATTTAGGAGAACTTACTCTGTTACTGCACTAAGGTGACAAAACATTTAGTAAAATAGACAAACATTTGACTTCAACAGCTATGAAAATTGCACATGTCCAGTGTAATGGGTATAGTATTTGAGCCGCTTCGAGACAAAGCCAACATAGTGCGTTTGCAACCAGCATGGATCCAGACCAGCCTGCGCATTCGCCCAGTCTGATCAGGATCCATGCTGTTCGCTTACCAACCCTATTACAAGTAGAGAAACTGATAGCGGATGCACAGGCTGGTCTGGATTCATGCTGATTGCAAACCCACTATGTTGCTTTTGTAGTGACGTGGCTCATTTTAATGTACTGTGTAAATCAAGCATTGTTTTTCCACATTAGTAGTACACAGTGAACGACCTTTAGATATACATTGCACAATCTCACCTGTTTGAAAGACTGCCAAGGGAACCAGAAAAATAGAAAAAATGGTTTGATTGGGAGGGGAAAAGGTTTATGGGGTGAGCGGAAAAAGTTTTTGGCGAGTTTTCCCCATCCCGAATCAACCATTTTTTTGATTTATCCTTTTTTTTATTTTTTTGAAAAATTAAAGGGTTTTTATTCTTTTTTTCCCCGATAAATAGATCTTAGTAGTTTTGTTTTGCTGCTAAACATGTGACGTCATCATATGACGTAATGACTGGAGATAGATAAGTTTATCTTGCAAGGCTTTATCCAGCTGATGATAAAGACAGTAGCAATATAAAAGAGTTTTTGTGAAAAGGTGTTCTGGTTTTACAGGTTGATATAACCTGACTTGGGGAAACAATTCCATCTGTGAGCAAGGGCTATTATTTACATAAATTATTTCAATTTTTTTGTTGATACCTGAACATATGCTATATCTGGCATGTGTAAAGGAAAAATGAAAGTCAAACTGAGATCAAAAAAGTGTTATAAGTGCTAACAAATAAACAAATTTTGTACCTCTGATAATTTTCTTTGATTTTGTTTTGACTCAGAACACTATTTATTTATTTATTTTTATTTACACATTTTAGGAACATAGCACAAGATACATAATATAAAATCATACAGTTAAGAGATAACATAAATAAATCATATATATAAAATGAGATCATAAAACAGCATAAAAGAGCACACTTTTGTCATAAAAAATAAGAGGTACTATGCACCTTATGGATAGCCCATTAAGCTAAATGCTTATTTCCAATGGGGTCCATAGAAAAATAAAAAAAAAAAAAAAAAAAAAAAGAAAAAAAAAAAAAAAAAAAAAAAAAAAACTAACATAATTTTAACCCTTTCCCCCCCCTAAAAAACAAACAAGATAAAAAAATAAAAATATAAACTAACTAACTTTGGTCAAAATTTAGGTTGAAAAAGGAAATATATTTATAAAAAGTATGCCCTTTTT